AAAGAAGTAAAAATTGACACTCTCAAAAGATACTGAAAAAAAAAATGAGACAGAGTAAAGCAAGAAATAATCTAACCAAAGGACGCGTGTAAATGTATAACAGAAAAAGCAGCAGGAAGATAGAAAAAAAGAAAATCGTTACTTAGACCTACGAATAATAGGAAACTGTGTCTGACTGTTATCACCAACATCCTGGCATGAAACGGCACAGAGGAGGAGGAGGAGGAGGAGGAGAAGAAGAAGAAGAAGAAGAAGAAGAAGAAGAAGAAGAAGAAGAAGAAGAATGGGTGGATAAATTGTCGTCTAAATAAAACTGACGTTTCATTTTAACAGATATATTTACCAAAATGAGAAAAATATCTTGAAATCTGAAAGAGTACATTTATTCAATAAAAACGACATTGGCTTCAACCACTGCCTCCATATGACTTCGGATACTCTGCCACTTTTCTGGGCGGTCTCCTTGTTTAAGTTGGTGAATGCCTTGCCTTCAGTTCATCTTTGGTGTTACAAAGAGATTTTTCGTCTATCATTCAACTTCGCCCCACACATATAATAATCAACGGCATTGCAGTCTTGGGATTTAGGTGGTCAGATGTAACGTGAGATGTGGTCGCAGAATTTACAGTTTTCTTGCTTGTGTGGCATGGTGCAGAGTCGTGTTGCCAAACAAAGGGTCTTCAAGCAGCCACTCTATTGACCCTGGGTAGGACTACCTCCTCAATTCACTTGATGTAGAACTCCGTGTTGAGTCTATGGCCCTGTGGAGGAGATAAATGTATGTATAACGTAGCCGTCCCTAGTGGTCACACCAAACACCTTCATAAACAAAATAAGGCTCATACAACTCATCCGGCATGGAGCTCTTCTTCTCAGAAACGCTGTCCAACTGACGCTACTATACAGTTCAATCGACAAAATCAATAACAACCACTGCGCATGCGCAAAATAAAAATAAAAACGGCGACAATTTACTCATCGCACCCTGTAGAACAAATGATTAAATATTGAGCGCTATAAGAAAATGAATAGGTTATTTCGATACTGCTCATTTTTTTCCAGAAATAAATATGATAATATCGAAGAAGAAAAGGATTTTTTTTTCATGAGTATAATTTTCTATTCCAAATTCCGAAGAGAAATAATTATCGTCAGCTTTAAATAAATGACAATGAAAATAGATTTCGCCAAAATACAATGGATTGATCAGACAATAACGATTAAATTAATTAAATGAAATAGAAAGCCGTGAAAACAAGATATTTGGCGATAACAAGCAAAACAAACAAATACCCTCATCAGAATATAGAATTTAAACCAGTTATTCTGTTATAAAAATAGGGAATTTCATTTCACCGCGCATTTGGTGCAGCCTGTCTGAAGTGGTAAAGGGAAATTAGATATCCTTAGAGTTCTCGCTTTATTTTAAATAATTTTGATTATATTAGAAATAAAACGTGTAGGAAAAACAGTCTATAAATACTTGTAGTTCATAAAGGAAAAAATAACACTTATAAACTAAAAGTAATATAACAACAATTAATAAAATTAAATCAATATAATTATAAATTAATAAATAATTTCAATTTCATTTGCATTTTATATTTTTAATTACAAAGAATGCTTGCCTTAAAAAAACTGCTACATTTAGCTCAGTCGATTGGTTGCTTTTTAAAAGTTATTGTTCCGAATGCATTATATATATATATATATATATATATATATATATATATATATATATATATATATATATATATATATATATATATGCATGCATGCAGTAATCGGTTTTATATAATCCAGGAGAGCCCTGGTACAATTTTTAAATATGTTAAAACTGTCCCAAAAAGTGCGCTCAATGTTTATTGTCATTAAACAGAGCACCTTTTTTTTTACAATTGGGATTAAGATACTTTTAGTTAATGACCTTTTTCTCCTACGAATTTTAATTTTAAAATTCGCAGGATTTATTCAAACGGTTTTAAAATTAAAATTTGTAGTTGAAAATGGTCAATAACTAAAGGTATCTTAATTCTAATTGTGAAAAGAAAGTATATATATATATATATATATATATATATATATATATATATATATATATATATATATATATATATATATATATATACACAAAAATAGTAAAAATAAAAGCATGGTTTAAAATAAGCTAAAATATTAAAATATAAACTAAACAGAGGGCTCTGTGACAAAATCGAAAGAGCCGTAATATAATTTAATGGAATATAATAATATTGATCCTACGGCAATCAACAGGCGGATCTCTGATAATTGGCATTACATGAGATTCATTAGTTGATTCAGTATTATATATATATATATATATATATATATATATATATATATATATATATATATATATATATATATATATATATATATTCGCCTCCTACTTCCAGTTAGTTTTTTTTCATATTTGAACATTTTATACGTTTTTTCTTAATCATCTTTCCCGCTCTTAATCCAGTATTTTTTAGACGTGAATATTTTTTTCGAATTCCAGAAAATAAGCATATCTAATGATTAAATGGTAAATATTTTCCAATCAGATGACATTATGCAAGCCAATATTTTTCCATGTAATTTGATAATTAACCAAACGATATCAGTTAAATTTATTTATATGAGAAATATATTCATACGGACTTCAACATATCATTTCTATACATATTACAAAAAAAATGGCGTTAAATTATTTCTGAGAGTGTCCGTAAAATAAGTTAAGGTGATTCACAAAAGTCAATGTTTTATAACAATATAAATCAAGCAGTATGAATATGTTACTAGTGATGTTATGCTATCTTTACAACCATAGTCATCATAAATATATGTCTCCTCACAGAATATGGTATCAAGTGACTGGAATCATCTTTGTAGACCTGAGAGTCTTAAACAGAATACCATACTCCGTTGGAACAACTGTCCTGAAATGTTGACTTTGTTAATGGTGGCGCTAAAGTTTAGCGGGATGACAACCCTTATGCAAACATCCATATCTATTTCCAGAAACAAATTCTCTGATAATATTCAGTGTGTCACTATCTGACTGCCTTAACTGCCTGACCATGCAATATCAACTCCATGGGCAGCACAATCTTTGCATCCCAAAACACCAGCTGCAATCAATTTCTTTCCTGACTGCTGAAGTTTGAATTTTGGATGTGGAACCGTGACGATGGATAGTTCCAGGTCATGGAGCCAATCCTTTGCATCTGTGCTAATGTAATATACTGAGAATTCCTCACTCGTAATCATGTGCTCTGGAAAAAATCCCAACCATCTCCCATTTACCTTTTCAAATGGAGGAAAAGAATTGTCCATACACTGGAACTTGAATTCTTCAGTCATCGCTTCGGAACACAAATTTGGATTTTTGCCGTTGGCATGTAAAAAATCTTATTACACCCCTCACCTTTAAGTGGGTCCAAGTAGGACTGCAGCCATAAAAGGCGTCAGTCATATTTATGACGTCACATGTGCATGGACCAATATTACGCCTGTATTGGTTATTACAATAATTATTGCACACCCACTGTTGATTTATGTGCACAAATTTACCAATGCTTTAATACTAATCCATTTATGCCGATCTTTACATTACTTTACGAATATTTTATATATAAATATGTGTGGAATCTGGGTGTTGTATATATATATATATATATATATATATATATATATATATATATATTGGTTCCTAGGAACTGAATTGCTTGGCACTCATACATTATACATATATATATATATATATATATATATATATATATATATATATAGAGAGAGAGAGAGAGAGAGAGAGAGAGAGAGAGAGAGAGAAGGAGAGAGAGAGAGAGAGAGAGAGAGAGAGAGAGAGATCTCGATCGTTTTTCAATGTATGAGTGCCAAGCAATTCAGTTCCTAGGAACCTACAGCCTGACACCTGCACATATGATTTGATTATAGTGGTGAATGTTTTGTGCCGAACCAACATACAAATACAGAGATTATATTATGACATCTATACCTTGTGGCATGTATATTTTAATATTGTAATACATGCAGCCGCTTTGAATACAGAGTTGTAATTCTCTTAGAAAGCTATAGGACCCAGTTTGCTATATACCCGTAGCTGGGGGTGGGGGAGAAGAAAAAGATTCAGAAAAGGGTATTAGCACGTAATGGATTCGACTGGAATTCGAAATCTACTCTCTGATTCCTCAATACGAGCCGCTATTCATTATTCTACACTGCCTATGTATATATATATATATATATATATATATATATATATATGAATAAAAAAGTGACCCCATCATGCATATATATATATATGAATAAAAAAGTGACCCCATCATGCATATATATATATGAATAAAAAAAGAAAACATTTGTTAATCGACTTTCGTCATCTGGTAGACCTTATCAAGGCATATTAAGGATTTTGTTTTGCTACATGCATTTATAAATAAAACTCATATTGTCATTAATCTTTCAGAATTTTTAAATTAAAGAAAACTCATATAATCTATTGGAAGGGGAGGTATATTATGGAGGATTATATGTGATGTAATTTCATGTCTAATAAAGAAAAGTGAGTAAATACTGTTGCTGAATTTTTTTAATGTTATTTTTACTTATATTAGTTTGATAAAAAATATTTATACATTATATATTATAAATAATAGTTTTTGAATTTAACCGTTTTTCTATTGTCGTTGTTGATATTGTGTATAAGTTATATTGCCTTGTGTTGCGTCAAACTAAGCTACACATAGTCAATCACACAAGAATAACTTAGAATTTATCAGTTTTCAATACTAAATTTAATCATATCAAAATAGTGAATTATTTTTCTTAACAGTTTGCCATTTAGGAAGCAAGACACTCATCAAAATACCTTCTTATCTCTCCAGAAAATGGGGCTATAACTTTCCTGTTTGCTTCAACCGTGAAGAAACCGTGTACTCACACAAAATGGGTTTTATAATAATATTGATGTAACTATGTTGCTTGTTTTTCTATCTATTCATAATTATTTGAAACTTTTTCTCTATTTATCCATCTATTTATCTATCAATAGACAGATGTTAATTTATTCAAATCTATCTATCTATCTATCTATCTATCTATCTATCTATCTATCTATCTATCTATCAAAGGAGAGTAAAATGAAAGTTTTTTTTTCTAAAATATCTCCGTGTGACAGGAATTCTTAGATTCATCTATCTATCTATCTATCTATCTATCTATCTATCTATCTATCTATCTATGTCAACTTATTCAAATCTATCTATTTATCTATCTATTTATCTATCTGTCGAAGGTGACTAAAACGAAATGTTTTTACTAAAATATCTCTGTGTGACAGGGATTCTTAGATCATTCTAACTTTCTATCTATCTATCTATCTATCTATCTATCTATCTATCTATCTATCTGTCTGTCTCTCTGTCTAACGAAGGTGAGTAACATGATTTTTTTTTACTAAAATATCTCTATATTCTTAGATTTACCTGACTTTCAAACATCATTTTTATCTGCGTCTCTGTTTATGTCAGCCGTCTAGTTCTCCTTGTCTCATTTCGTTCACTAACTTAGTATATTTTCATGCGTCATTTGTGTTCTCCCTTACAAAAAGCTTTGTGTAATTACACTCTTTAGCCATCACGACTGACACTGAATTTTTATTTATGTGTCTTTGTCTTCTGTTTTGGTCATTGCGTGGACATCACAGAGTTCACGACAGTTTTCAGTTTGAACAAACTAAATTTACCTCCCAAGATAAACTAAAGGAAGACGTCACACGTAGAATCCAAGTATGTCCAATTTAAGAAAGGTTGTCAGGGAGAGTAATAAAAGTGATATCAAATATGAGTTAAGAAGAAAATGAAGAAGAAAACAAAATGAAAAGAAAGAGTATTAGCTTTGTCTCAACAAAAAATAACGTGAAAAGGAAAGAGAATAAACAAAAAAAGACGGTTGAAGAAGAAGAAGAGGAAGAGGGTGAATTTTAAAAAAAAGAAGCCATTGAAGAAATTTAAAATAACACGAATGGCGTTTTAATCAAATTATATCCTGAAGATGTGGAGACTATAAAAATGGAAATAAGACTAAAAGCTTAAGAATAAAAAATAAGAAGCAAAACTTGTTGAAACTTTTAATCATTAAAGCAACTTTCAAAGTCATATTACAAAGATTTCACCCATATGTGAGTATGTGGGTGATGCGTATGTGCGTATAAACAATATGTGTGAATACTGGGTGGGAGATTTTTTTTTCTGTTAACTTTAGCTTGTTCCCACATAGTCATTATTACTTCTCGTTCCCGCCTTTCTTTTTCTCGTCGTCTGCTTTTAAGTCGATGTGTGTACCTTTTCTGATTTTCCTTTGAAATTGGATGTTGTCTTTGTGAACGACCGACAAGAAATTTCAGTTAAAATAAACCCACCTTCAATAATTTTGTCCTTCCCCACGCCACAATCAAATGTGATCACACAACTTGTTATTATGAACAACACCTTCTAGAGATTGTTTATCTTTCATGTTTGAGTTCTCGCAGTCATTCTATAGCGTTTTATTTTCATTCATTCTCGTAGTTCGGTATTTTTTGTTAGTATTTATTTCATCTTCTTATTAAATTTGAAATTACAAGCGATAGCCGAAGCGCCCGGTTTGAACGGCAAATTTGTTTGATGCCAGGGACCAATGAAAAACGGCGACAAGTCAAAGCTAGACCAAGCAAAAATGGTGTTACTTACGAGGCATTGAATTCTTTTATATTCTTGGTATCATTGCCAACAACATTAAAAGAGGAAAGAGGAAAGCTTTGTAGCCTTTGTCGGCATTTATTTCGGGGCTTCGAACAAGAAAAGATTTCAAGAGGTTTGTTATTGTTTTGTTTAGAAAGCACAACGGACCTTCTGACCTTCTCATACTTTCACTAATCGGCAAAATTTGGATTTTGGTGGAGGGGTGACTTCGAGTATTTTTCTTTTTTTGTAGAGTCATGGGAGAGTATGAATTTCACACGCAACATAGACATTTATCTAAAATAGATAAGGGGAATATATAAATTTATGAAAATACATAATGATTTCCAATGTTAAACCAGCCCCAAAGACGTACAAAATATGAGTGTTCGTATATGTGTATATAATACATACAAACGTATAATATTTGCTTACCAAAACGTGATATAAGCACAAATAAGATTGTCTGTCTCTCTCACTCTCTATCTATATATATATATATATATATATATATATATATATATATATATATATATATATATATATATATATATATAATTAATCAAATTGAGTAAGTAAATTTGTCCCTGTGAGCAAGTAAGTACGAATATGTTTCTCTCTACAAATGTGAAAAAATAATAATGTCCTCATTAAAAAATATATATATTATGCCGATTTTTTTAAAAAAGAATATAGACACGTTGTTTAGCACACAGTAACACACACACAATAGTCACGCCATTCTTATTTATTCAACAGTGTAGTGATTTTCCAACCGTTGCTCAGATGTGGCAAAAGGCCGAAATTATGTGGCGCCCAGTGAGGATCGAACTCACTACTCAGTCGTAATACTTCTAGTGAGACAAGCTTGATAACCATTACACCACCTCGCGGTGCTCTTTATTGAGCAGTGTATATTGCATCTATCCCCACGCATACGCCGATAGACGTAATAAACACTGTTAAATAAATAAAAATGGGACGTCTGTTTCAAATACGAAGTGTCCATTATAATATCGTTTGATGAGATATTTATAAATACCTATGCACGCGCACACAAGACACACAGACACACATATCTATCTATCTATCTATCTATCTATCTATCTATATATATATATATATATATATATATATATATATATATATATATATATATATATATAGAGAGAGAGAGAGAGAGAGAGAGAGATAGATAGAGAGATAGATAGATAGATAGATAGATAGATATAAATACGCAAATTGTTTAAGAATCTGCTTAGCACGTTTGTTTGGCTTAACTTTTGCACCAGAATTAATACACAAGTTAAATAAATGGTTGCTTATTTTTTTATTACTTTTAGTTCTAATAAATACAAAAGAATGGCATATCCATTTCGTGGGAGAAATGGTAGAATTCTTGAATAAATTACAGAAGAAAGATATTTCTTAAATATTTATTAGTTTTACTTCCTTTTTTATATTTTTTTTTGTTTTTGGTTCCTATGTGTTTCTGAAGACACGCGAATATCAGGAAGAGTCTTCCTTAAGATACAGTCAAAAGTGCGTATAAATGCTTGCAAACGAGTAGTTTCTTTACAGTACGCATTCACATATATGAATGTGTTTGTATGTGTGTTCGTGGGTGTGTGTGCTTATTCAAATTTGGGCCTAGTGTTTTGCGTTCATTTCATACTAAAGCCTTTGAGAAAATCATAAATCTATTTCTTCTAATTCCAAATCTGACGAAAATAATAGGCTAGTCCAGGCTTTCTAGTTTTGCTGGCGGCGAATCTAGGAAAAAGAAAATTTATTCTTCAAATCCGTTGAGAAATAAAAGAGAAAAACGGCAAGGAAATGAATTTTAGAGAAACCCTCCTTTCACACACACACACACACACACACACACACACACACACACACACATATATATATACACACACACACACACACACACACACACATATATATATATATATATATATATATATATATATATATATATATATATATATAACTGTGCATCTTGGCAGAAAACCAACACTTACACGACCGACAAGATGGGATTAAGCTTCCTACACAGTCTTTCATGTGCTCGTATAAATGCTTTCTTTCGGCAGACAATGTGTACATACATTGTCCAAATATTCCAGACATCCGAGCACTTTCGGCCATTCTCTTAAACATTATCAAGGATGTTTTTGTCGTTGTTTTTAAACTGAATGACTAGATATTTATATATGATTATAGGGGTATGGAAATGTTTTTCTTATTTTACAAACACGGTCAGCACATTGTGGCCGCGTTCATACATACTAACCGTATATATATACATGCTTCATATTAAATATTTCAGAGGTAATTCGACTATTTGATGAAGCAGGTAATTCATGTTTTATGAATTAAATCATATATCTCCTTGCCTTGAATGAGACCCGTAATTTGAAATTTTGCTTACAATCAGTCTTCGAGCCTAGATAAAAATTAAAATAAAAATTAGTAGGAGACAATCTTTCTATCTCCCTTGCTCTAATTTGTAGCGCAAGATCATTAGATATTAAGATGGATATTTCACTAGGTTCACGACGCTTATATGACATTTCCATAGCACATGCTTTAGTAAGAAGAACCTACAACGTTATATAATTTACGATCTACTGAAGTCTTAACATCATTTTTTTGTTCTATATTTCTGAGATGAGATATTATGTACACTATTTACATCATTCGGACTATTGTCCTCATTTTTGTCGCCATATTTATAACAACGTTTCTGCCGTTGTACGCTCCGGCCTTCTTCAGTATATTTCTGAGATGAGTTACTATGTACACTATTTACATTATTCGGACTATTGTACTCATCTCTGTCGCCTCAAGGACACATGGCACAGTGGATAATGGCGTTGGTTAGATCCAGTGACTGGGCCCAAATAGTATGAGTTCAATACCCGGGTAAGGCAGTGGAGAACTTGCAGAGAGGAATTAACATGAGGTAACTGATAACTGACATCCATTAAACATGCCACGCGGAGCTAAAAAAAAAGTCTACCCCATAAGCGAAATAAAGGGTTCAATTCGACATTGCAAACACCTGAAGACGGTTGGAGCGTAGAACGGCTGAAACTTTGTAATAAATATTGCGACAAAGATGAGGGCAATAGTCCGAATAATGTATATAGTTACATAATACCTCATTTCAGAAATATAGACAAATACTGAAAGGCAGGAACCTTGTAATAAATATGGCAAAAAACATGAGGAGAATAGACCGAATAATGTAAATAGTGTATCATTTGCTTATTTATAAACCTCAAAATCCAGGACAGAAAATTACATTAGAAGACTTCAATCAGGGATAATTATTGCACATTTACGAACGTTTTTAGTGATCTTATCTATATCATGTTAAGGCTTGTGAACTTATTCACATAATAGAAATGAGGTGTATTTTTAATGCACCACTTTGCAAATTTATTATAAGCATATACTTCATTCAAAAAGCCATAGCAATTTGAATTATTTTCATTTTGAAACTAAGAGGGTGTTAAGTGCATTTTTGGTGAAATAATTAAGAAAAATTTAAAAGTGTCTAATTCAACAGCCGCTCTTTTTGCAAAGTGCTTTTGTTTTATTTAGTTCCTAATTTCACAAAGAAATCTTTATATCAGAATATTGTCAAGGCTATTCTTTTCCTGATCACATTTCTTATTTCATAAATGATAAAACATGCAAA